ACTCGCACCCGCCCCACGCGGAGCGTCTGAAGCCTCTCTCTGCGTGCTTGTTGGCCTCTGTATGGCTCCTGTGGGGAAAAAAAAATCTGTTGAAGTTCTTGGCCATTGTTGATTGGATTTCATTTCTCATTGTTGTTAACCTGTATAGACACAGATTTTTCCTATTGTTTTTTGTTTTTTTCCTGGTACCAGGAATCGAACTCACGACCTCGTGCTTGCCAGGTAGGCGCTGTGCCGCTGAGATAAATCCCCAGCCCCTTCCTCTGGTTTTTATGCCCTTAATGTCACTGGTTATTGTATGCCCTTATTTCTTTCTTCTTGCGTTGAGGTTAATTTACTCGTTTTCTAGTTTCTTAAAATGAAAACCAGTTATCTGAGACTTTTCCTTTTCTAACTTGTCTTTATTGCTGTCATTTTCCTCCATGACGACTCTAGCTTCGGGCGTAAGCCAGGCGCTCACGGGACACGATGCACGGCTGCTGGGACTTGCTCCCCGGTCACAGGAATGGTGGCAACACCCGTCCGTGGCCATCCTCCGTCCTCCCTGTGGCGGGTACGGAACAAGCCGCCGCCCCCCCGCCCCCCGCGTCCCAAGGGTGTGCTGGGGCAGCAGGAGGCGCCGCGGAGTCCCCAAGGACAGAATAGCCCCGGACCCAATCTTCTGTTAGGAAGCAGTCCCGGAGAACCCCACGGAGAAGGCTCAGAAATGCTCCCTGCAGCCCAGGTGAAGACGCCCCACCCGCACTCTTCCCAGCAAGACACAGAAACCAGGCCGTCCTGCTCCCGGCCTCTGCTCACCCCCACTGGCTGCCATGTAGCCCCGCCCCCAGCCCTTCCTTTCCCTTCCCACGGGCGCCTCCGCCTGTGCATCAGCGCTGCACGTCGGGTTTAATTTCCTTCATCACTGAGCACCCGCCCTCCCACCGCATCCTGGGTCAAGGACATCCCTCGCATTTTGATGTATTTCCATTTGTGTCCCACTTGAAATATTCCTTCCTTCCTTCTCTTCTCTTCTTTCTTTTTCTTTCTTTTTTTTTGTCTTTTTGAGACAGGGTCTCACTACGCAGTTCAGGCTGGCCTTGAGCTCACTTTGTAGGCCAGGCTGGCCTTGAACTTGCCACCATCCTCCTGCCTCAGCCTCCTGAGTGTAGTGATTACAGGCGTGCACCATCATGCTTGGCTTTTGAAATATTTTCAAATTCTCTTTTGTGGACACATGGGTTATTCTGAAGTATAGCTTTTAAAACCACACATTTGGAGATTTTCTAGATATTTTTCATTATTTTAGTTTAATTCAGTTGTGGCATGGTGAAATACATTTTTTTTTTTTTTTTTTGGTTTTTGTTAAAGTTTGTTTTATGGTGCAGAATAGGATTTATCTTGTTGAGTGCTTCATGTGTGCTTTAGAGGAATGTGTTCTCCACCTGTGATAGGGTCCAGGGGTGGAGGTTAATGTGGTCGCCCAGGTCAGTTAGAGCTTTTCTGGCTACTTGTTCTATTGATAACAGAGAATTGTGGATTCATTTCCCCTTTCAGTTTCACTGATTTTTGCTTTATGTACTTTGAGGCTCTGTTGATAATTACATGTAAGATTGTTGTCTTAAGAGCTTGACTCTCATGTGATGCCCCCTTTCCCCAGTAATATGTAATACCCATTCTTTTCTTTGGTGGTGCTGGGGATTGAACCCAGGGCCTCGGGCATGCCAGGCAAACACTCTCACACTGAGCACAGCCCTGAGCCCCTGGACTTGCTCGGTCTGGGAGTACTGTAACCTCGCCAGCTTCTTTTTGATTTGTGTTTTCAGATGCCTTTGTCCGCCCTTTTAGTTGTAACTTATCTTTGTCCTTGTATGGAGGGGGGCTACTGTAGATGGCATACATTCAGGTCTTGCTTTTTTACACACTGCGATGATCTCTGTCTTGGAACTGCTGAGTTTAAACTGTTTCTAGTTAATGTTATTCACCTGCTTCAGTGAAATGCATCATCTTGCTAGCTGGTGTCTTCTGAGTTTGCTTTCAAAAGACCTTGAAAGGCAGCGCTTGTGCTAAAATCACACTAGTGACATGAGCAAATTAAAATGCCGGTAAGAACACAGGATTTGGGTCATCTTCCAGCGAGCAAGAGGACACAGTGCACGGGGGCCGTTACAGACAGATAAGGGATGTGTTTCTGTGTGCCTCAGCCAGCAGTTTATAAATCTTCTCCGAGGCTGAGAGCGGACAGCAAGGTGTCTATGGAGTGGGCTTCCAGGTGGGCTCTGCTCCTTGTCAGCACAGACTTGGACAGGTTTTCCAGTTTCCCTGACGCAGTTACACAGGTAAAATAATGCGCGCTGCCAGCAGTTAGCTCAGCTACCTCTGAGGTCTTGGGTGGAGCTGAGAGACAGTCTCCATCTGGGGCAAGTGCTGTACAGAAATGAATGGGATTTCTGGAGGTGTTTCCATGAAAGCAGAGGTAACAGAGTAAGCTTGGGAACATGGTTGTAACAGCATATATATATATATTTTTTGGTCTTTTTTGAGACAGGGTCTCGCTATGCAGTTCATGCTGGCCGTGAGCTCACTGTGTAGCCCAGGCTGGTCTCAAACTTGAAATGATCTCCTACCTCAGCCTCCCGAGTGCTGGGATCACAGGTGTGCACCATCACGCCCAGCCAGTGAGAATAATTTAGAACATGTGCATGAAGCAGCAGCCATTGCAAGAATGCAAATGACTGGGCACGGTGGTGCCCGCCTGTCCTCTCAGCACTCAGGAGGCTGTGGCAGGAGCATTTTTGCATGTTGAAGGCCAGCCTGGGCTACTTAGTGAGACCCTGTCTCAAAAAAAAAAAAAAAGCAAGTGAGGGCCCCTGGGGTTTCAGCCAGTGCAGAAGGCTGGTGAGAAGAGGCTCTGACTCTGGCGGGGAGGCCACGTGGAAGGTGCCTGTGGAGGAGCTGTCCAGGATCACTTCCGATTTCAGGCTTGGGGCTCTGGGGGGATGATGGCTTCTTTCACTAGGTACAGAGTACAGCTACAACCTGGAAGGGCTGGCTCTTCTTCAACGGAAGGCAGGGCCAGTTTTAAATGAGTGTCCGTCGCTTCTGGGACCCCTGAGACATGCCGGCAGGTAGCCTGCCGGCTGTGCCTGGCGCTTGGGGGTGTGTGTGCAGGAGGCGGGGTGACTCTCCCTTGCAGACCAGCCAAGAACACTTCTGGGTGTATCCCGTGGGCCATGAGGGTGTGACCTTGGGGACTGCATCTGAGGCATCAGCGGCTGGGCCAGTCATCCCACAGCGGTGTGATCGCACGGCCTTCCCAGAGCGCTTGGCCACTCACAACCTCAGTGAAATGAAGGCAGCAAGAGATGACTTGAATAGAAGCAGAAGCATGAGGAGAAGCAGGGGAAGCGAACCTTTCTAGAATGTTCTGCGGTACTTACACTAGGGGCCACGGAGGCCAAAGGAGGGATCTGTAGACACAGCGTATGTATGACTGTCTTGATCAGCTGAGGTATAGCTCAGTGGTACAGCACTTGCCTAGCATGCAGGCCACCCTGGGTTTGATCCCCAGTAAGCCAAGAGCGAACTGCTAAAATGGGAAGAAAGCCTGGAGTCCAACAACTAGCCCTGTTCTGATGCCGGTTTGCTCGTTTTGATCACAGGGCTGCAAAAATACGTGAATGTAAGTAAAAGAAGATCACAGTGCAAGGCAGTGCCGCAAGTCCCCGCAGGGCCCTCCTCTCCTCTCCTCGTGCATCCCGTCATCTCGCCGCCCTCTCCAGCATCTTCAGCCCTAACTCTGTCCCCGAACCAGAAACATCCCTTTGTGGCCACAGTAGCCAGGGCTCTGAGCTCTCTGGTGCGGGGTTTTTGAGACAGGGGCTCACTGTGTATTCCAGGCAAGTAGCCCAGGCTGGCAACTCGCAGAGATCCTTCTGCTTCAGCTTCCCATTGGTGGGATCACAGGTGCGTGCCCCCAGGCCCAATGAGGAAGGTATTTTTAAACAGGGGGTCACTATAGCAACTCGGGACCAAGCAAAGCAGCTGCCACCCCGGCCAGGGGGGCTTTGGAGCTCAAAGGACCCTTGTGAGTCTGGGGCACAGGGACTCTCACACTCTCAGGCCACTGGATGCCGCAAGGCCCAGCAGGACAGCAAAGAACCAGACAGCCATCGGGACTGGAGCCCGCCCCAAGCTCACGGGAGGTTTCCGGGCCTCAGCGTGACTCACAGGCAGCCCTGTGCCAAGACGGTGTGGGCGCCCCTGCCCTGGCCCGTGGGGAGTGCCCAGGCCTCACGCTGCGCTTCGTCCCCACTTCTAATGTCTTCCTGAGACAAGGTCTCTTGAAGTTGTGCAGGCAGCTCAGACTGGAGACCCTCCTGTCTCTGCTCCCATGCGTGCGGGCTGGGGTTACGGGAGTGCACCGAGCCCTGCCACACACTTGGCTTTAAATGAACAATTCAGCACATTCTGTGCGTGGAAACCGGCGCGGACACCTGGCAACCAGGAGGCGCTGGCTTCCGGCCCCTCCTCCCGCCCCCTCCTCCGGGTCTGGCAGCCGCTGCTTGTCCGCCTCTAGCAGTTGGACCACTCACTGGACCCTCAAACGGGTGGCACCATACGACGTCCGTCCTTCGTGGCTGGCTTTCCTCACTCAGCGCGGTGCCGCCGGCTCAGCCTGTGCTCCAGGCCACAGCGCTGCGTCCCCTTTCCTTCCTCCAGGCTGGGTACTATCCCATGTTGGCACTGTGTTTATCCATTAATCGCTGGCGAAGGTGGGTTGTTCCCTGCGGGCTGCTGTGAATCAGGCTGTCGTGGACCCTGGCGTCAGGGCCTGACCTACTCATCCACATCCTTACGCCTCGAGGCCCCACGGCGAACCCTCTCGGGCGTGTGGGCTGCTCTCCACCTCGGAGGACGTTCGACGCTTCCCCCTTACAGCAGCCAGAAGCCAAAAGGTGCTGTCCATGAGGCACACCGTCGCATACACAGTTTACAAATGAATGCGGCAACTCCACCACTGTCATTCATAAATACAAAATTTTATTTGCACTTCATTAGTGTAGAAAGACCACGATGCTTCTCATACCACAACACTCAGGACACAGCAAGTTATTCAAACACGGACTATTTACCTTGACTAAACGACACAGTGCAGTTTAATAAAAGATATACCAAAGAGAGTCCACAAAAAAAAAAAAAAAAAGCACAGTCTAGGCGTGTGGCGCTGGGCTCTGCCGCCGAAGGGAGCGTCGCATCCCTACCAGGACACGGAGCGCTCAGGCAAAATCCCCGTGTGCTCTTGGACACGGTGAAGCGCACTGCTTCAAAATCCCTTTGAACAGGGTTTGTCCAGGACAGCAGGGTTGCTTCAAAATGTTCCTCTATGGTTTCCAAAATACTTCTTTCTGTGCTGAGTGTCTATGGTTCTGAGCAGCCTGAGACTCGTCCGTGCATCAGGAAGCGCAGCTTCGCAGCCCCTGCCCGGGAAGAGCCCTTCCTCACCTCCCGGCAACGAGTAACCTGCGGCAGGGCTCGCAGCGAGCGGGCTCCGGCTCAGAGACCCTACAGCGGGATGTCTTGTAAATAAAGAGAAAGCACTTAACATAGCTTTGTTCTCAAAGTCTTTAGTTTTACAAATTTTCTTTAAAACAGTAAGCAAAGCACCACGGTCTCTCTTCTTAGCAGAATATCTTCTGTCCTCATAGTATCACTAACAAGGACAATATGATATTTAGGAACATTACACCTTTCCTCTCGCCTACTCTTCGTATCAGAAGTACTGTGCTCCTGGGTGTGGACAGGAGCGGCCGGGGAAACCGATGAAGTCGAATTTGGAGGGAAACAGGTAACGTATGACCCAGACTCACCCAGGATTGCATATTTGCGTATTTACAAGTTAGTGTATAGCTCTGACTTGGATTACAAAGTGCAAAAGGAAACTGTCAAAATGATTGTAGTGCAGAAGGGAGCGCTGCCCCTCAGGCCGGCCGCTCTGTCGCTGGGGCGCAGGTGGCAGATCAGCAGCAGCGCACGTGCGGCCGCGGCGGGGGCAGCTCGGGCGGGATCTCGGGCTCCGGCTGCAGCGAGAGGATGCTGTTGGAGAGCTCGTTCCGCAGGACGTCCAGCGGCATCTGGAGAGTGGAGCAGACATGAACACAGTGACTGTTGGGAAGGGATCGGCTCGGAAACCGAGCAGCCACATAAAGGACAAAGCCTACCACAGAGCGCGCTGAGGGAGGGGGTCGGATTAGCCCACTGACAGACTTACAGCTGGGTGTGCTGCTGGGGGGTGAAGCCTGGTAGGAAGCGGTGGTCACTGTGACCATGGCACGGAAGGTTACGCCCTCCTCCCTTGATCTCTGCTTCCTGCTGCCCTGCCATGGGCTGCTTCTCCTCTGCTATGCCACCCTGCCTGGGAGCCGGCCGACGGGTCTGAAACCTCCACAAACTGAAAGCTGAGCGAAACCTTTCCTCCTCTGACTTGCCGGCGTGGGCTGTTCGTCCCAGCCATGTGAAAGTAACTAAGACAACCCCCAAAGAAATGACTGCTGCCCAGCGGAGCTCCCGCTGACTCCTGGTAGCAAAGCAGCCCATGAAGCCTCGGGAGAGGGGAGGCCGGCTGTGGGGCCCTGGGGCAGGTGCCTGCCAGGGCTGTCCTTGCTGGGGCCCTGCCTGCTTCTCCAGCTCCCCTCTGGCCACGGTGAACTTAATTCGCGTCGGGACACAGGAAGAAATAAAGCAAGTGTACAGAACAGGCCTGGATGGCGTGCCGGGGACGGCAAGGGCTCCACCCCGAGCCACCCCAGGCCTGTGGACAACTCCGCACCGTGCGGCCACACCACCAACTGCACTCCTACGCTAAGCTGGAGCACTATCCAATGGCCCCGGGTCACCAAAGCCCTGGGAACCCTCCCACTCGGCCCAGGCGGCACCAGTACCGGCTCCTGTGCCTAAGAGCAAGGACTGGGCCTTCGTTTCTAAATACAACATCTTCAACGCGGAGAAGCAACAAAGGAAACGGCAGCTTTCAGTAAACCCCCGGGAGCTGGCGTTTGACCCTTTACCTTCTTCAGGATGTCGTCGACCAGCTTCAGGAATATCTCGTCCACGTTGAAGTTATCCTTGGCACTGGCCTCACAGAACCGCATCCCGGTTATCTGCTGTGCGAACTGTGAAGACACAGACAGACAGGCGTGCGCGTGCACACACACACACACACACACACACACGCACGCGCGTGTCTGGCCTGGGCACAGTGCAGACCTGTGTCTACAGGGCCCCACAACGGAGGGGTTGCAGCCCCAAGGCTTTGGCACTAAAGGAGGGGACTGAGGGTCTCCGGAGTCCCAGTTACACCCAAACACCAGGCTGACAAGGATACCAGACCCCTACAGTAACACAGCAAAAGAAAAAATCGAGCAGCAGCTCCAGGCTGACATCAGGACCCGGAGCCCAGCGCCCTGCCTGCGGCTGTCAGAGAAGAGCCAAGCCTTCGGACACGCACCCCGTCTCTCTGTGACTGCACCCTTAGCAGAGCCAGGGGAGCAGAGAATGTCAGAGTAAGAGGAAGCCATGAAAGCAGCCTCACAATGTCAACAGGCTCCTCCAGCACAAACGCCAGCTCAGCTAACAGCGCACTCTACCCTCATGTGCTCTTTCCTTCTACTTCAAAATGAGTCTACAGGAGCAAGACACCTGGGCATAGTGGTGCACGCCATAGTCCCAGCAGCTGAGGCTGAGGCAGGAAGAGTGCCATGAGTTCGAAGCCAGCCTGGGCTACATAGTGAGTTCAAGGCCAGCCTGAACTGCATAGTGTGACTGTCTCAAAAAAAAAAAGGAGCAAGAAGTTAGGAAAACAAAGCCGCCACGGGAAGGGTGTGACCAGGGCCGCCGCACTGACGGTCACTTCTCAGATGTGAGGGGCAGGGCCTCTATGGGGATGGTGCTCACCTTCTCCCCCTGCTGCCGGCTGATCTCCCGGTCCATCTCACAGTCCAGCTTGTTTCCCACCAGGAGGAGCTCGGCGTCTTCAGACGCGTACTGCGGTTGCAAAGATGCCGGCGTCACAGGCTGCCCTACCAGTGCAGGACCGCCAGGAGGCCCCAGGGCCCCGGAAAGCCCTGCTGCATGCACCGAGTCCCCGTGACCCCAGCCCGGGCCGGGCCGGCCAGGACTCCAGCCACCGAAGAGGTCAGAACGGGCCGAGGACAGCCGCTTTCTCATCTCCTGAGGTGTGCACTTTGAAAACCTGGCTGTGCTCCACGGGCCACAACCTCCTACTGGGCATTTACTGGAAGTCTTACAGAGTGTTCTGGAGACTGAGGCAGGAGGATCCAGACCTGGCAACTTAGTGAGCCCTATCTCAGAATTAAAAAGCACACTGGGCTGGACATGTAACTCAGGACCAAGGCCCTAGACTCAGTCCCCTGTGCTGCTGGGATATTGTGAGCCAAGGAAAAACCTGTGCAGAATGAGGAGCTGACAGTCGGCCCTGACACCAAGGGCCGGTGCCCAGGGGATGGCCAGGCCTCCGGGCTGCCCACGCCCGCACGAGAAGGCCACCTGCTTGCGTGCATGCAGAGAGTGTGCGCACAACCTCTTGCGGGAGCAAGCGTGCCCAGTGTCGGCTCCCAGCAGCACCAGACCCAGCCGAAGGGACACACTGGCTCTGAGTCCAGCACCGGGCAGAAACCCGGATATTCACACCTTGGTGCCTCGTGCATGACACAGGACCCCCCGCCCAGGACCACGCTCCGTGCTGACGGCGCTGGGCTGCGTCCCCCGAGCAGCATTCACCCCTTGGGGAGCGGTGCACCTTATCGATCATCTTCATCCACTTGGGCAGATCGTCGAAGGTCTCCTTCTTGGTGATGTCGTACACGAGGATGATCCCCTTGGCACTCCTGTAGTAGGCTGAGGTAATGCTGTTGAATCGCTCCTGGCCCGCCGTGTCCCTAGGAAACCGTGGCACAGTCAGTCCCCGGCCTCGGCCCTGGCGAGGTGGGTGGGGCCCCTGCTCCCCGGGGAAACGCTGGTGACTGGGCGGTGAGACAGCAGGCCAAGTCGGGGACTCAGACAGCACGAGCTATGGGCCCTGCTCCACCCAGCCAGCAGTCACTCGTGTCCCTGGGGTCCCTGGAGTGACCATACAGAGGGACCCGCCCACAGCCCAACACCAGGACAGGAAAAGACGGGACCCGCATCTCATTCCTAAAATTCTGTCTTCCGGCCGCTCTGACAGCCGGCCTGGCAGCCTCCTCCTCCCCCTCTGCCTCCTCCTCCGGACGCTGCACCAGCCCCGCACAGATCCCGCTGCGGCTCCTATTCTACCCAACTCAGATGACTGTGGGGGCTGGGTCCCGCTTCCCGCCTTGTGAAGACACCAAGTGCATCTCTGCCCTCTGCCCAGCGGCGCTCCGCTGACCCCCAGCCCCGCAGGCCTCTCTCCGTCTCTGGCCAGGCTGCAAGCTCCCTGCGGCCCCGCTCTGCCGGTGCACAGCCGTGCCCTGAGTGCCCTGCAATGCTGTTCCTAGCCCGGGGCGGGGGTGACTTCGGCAGTGCCGCTCTACCTGCTCCGCTCCGTGTCACCTGACTGCTCCAGGGAGAGAAGGAAAGGGCCGGCCAGGCAGGCTGAGGCCGCACGCACCCCGAACCCCGCACCCCTCTCCCAGGGCGTGGCTCCTCTCCCATCCCAACGCGACACTGCCCAGCTGCCCAGCAACTCCAGACAGCGCTGGGCGCACGTGTGAGGCCGCACTGGCCTGCCGGACACTGACTCATGCGACACAAGCAGACAGAGGAAGGGGGAACTGAACAACGCAGCCGTGACAAAGAGGCCGCGAAGACAGCCGCGGCTTCAGCCTTCGCACGGCCAGGCCTCTGCAGCGAACGGCATTTCTCGCACTGCCTACAAACAAACTACCAAGAACAAAAGCATCTGCTCTAGCAAGGCCGTCTGTGAAACCGAGTCGGCCCTACTCGTCCTGGAGTGGGGGAACCCGGTTCTGCTGCGCCTCAGCTGGCCAAGAACCAGGACAACTTCACACAGCGCAAGAGCAAGACAAACGATGTGGTCCAGGCCCGGCACTCCTAATCCGGAAACACAAAATGCAAAAAGGAAGAAAAGGCAGGCACGACGACATACGTCTAATACCGGTACTTGGGGAGGCCGAGACAGAGGGACCAGCCTGGGCTACGCAGCAAAACCTTGTCTCATAAAAAAAGAGACAAAAGACAACAGAACGCAAAACACCCCTAAATGCTACATAATCCGCAACTTTCTGAGCACCGACACAACGCACAGGCGGACAATTTCAGGCCTGACCTCCTGTGGCTGCTGCACTAACAACACCGTGTAAAGGGGCCTGCGTCAGGTGCGCAGGACGCGGCGTGAGCTCGGTGCTCAGACCTGGCTCCTGTCCCCGGGACATCACCGTGCGCCAGTACTCCAGAGCCCGGCCCCGCCGGGCCAAGCACTCAGACACGGAACGCTCGGGCCCCGGGCCAGGCCCTCTCCACCTCAGGAGACAAAGGTGAGGAGCACGTGGTCCCCCCTCCACCACCCCCACCACCAGCTCTCGGACACGAACACTAGCGGAGGGCATGGGCGCTGGGCAGAGGGCAGCGAGGCACCTGGGCATTCGGACATACTTCTACAAACTGGGCCCGACTCGCAGAGATTCATCTTCTTCAGATGTGCCATTGCCACTGGGTGTGTCTATCATCCACCAAAGCAAGCTTCACAGTCTAGTATTAGCTACCTTACCCCCTCATTGAAAAGTACCCACAGAGCCAGGCATGGGGTGGGAGAGGGGGACATATTCCCAATATATTATATTCCCAATACTCTGGGAGGCTGAGGCAGGAGGACTGCAAGGTCAAGCCCCGCCTGGGTAACTTAGTGAGCCCCAAAAATAAGTCAGAAAGGGCTGGGGATGTGGCTCAGCCCCAGGCCCCGGAGGCAGGCGCACAGGTGGAAGTATCCCAGCCCCTGCCGAGGTGCTCTTGCCCTCAAAGCCTTTGATCAGAAATAGCAGCTCGTGTGCGGTCCCTGGGACGGGCAGCGAGGGTGCCGAGTCTGCGGCCTTCCCCAGGACAGAAGGAGCGACGGGTACTTCCTGCTATTCAGATCTCCCGACAAGACTGCTCATGTTTCACGGTCAAACTAGACAACTAAAACACGACAAAACGCAAAGCAGCACGCCCGGGCCCCCGGCGGGGTCCTGGGCGGGTGGGGGAGGGGCTGTTACCTCGGACGCCTCGGCGGGGCTGCAGCGGCCCGGGACAGGGACACGGATGAAGATGGAGACACGGCACTGACACTCAGAGTTAGGTGACGGTGGTGCCACAGATGGAGAGCGGTTAGCGCGATGGAAGCAGACACACAGATGTGGACAGACAGTCAGAACGAGGGCACCTACGAGAGGGTTAGTAGGCTGAGTGCGGGCCCGTGCCGGCCCCGTCCCCTCCTCCGGAGAGGTGGCCGGCCACCTGCACACTTCTGCTGTGCTTTGAGACAGGGTCTTCCTAAGTCATTGTCTCCCAGGCTGGGCTTGAACTTGCCATCCTCCTGCCTCAGCCTCCCAAAATGCCAGGTTTGGCAGGTGTGCGCCACTGCGCCTGGCTATAAAGGGGCTTCTCTCTAGGGCCCATCTCTGAGGTTTGAGAGCCAGCCTGGCCACACACATGTGGGCTCTCCTGGACACCAGCACAGGGAGCCCTTGCCAGGAGAAGATGCCAAGCAGGTGGGCAGCTGGTGCAGTGACGCAGCTCAGCGCATGCAAACGACTTGCAGTTAGAGGTGAAGGCGCCAGGGCGCGCTCAGGACAGGGACACAGCGTGGCACACGTGGACGGGTTGCCATACGCAGCGGAGCCCAGCGCACACGTGTGTGGGTGCTGCACACGCAGACGCACACAGCCGGCATGCAATGGAGTAAACTGCCACTCACCAGATCTGTAACCTGATTTTCTTCCCTCTTAGCTCTACGGTTTTGATTTTGAAGTCAACACCTGTAAAAAAAAAAAAAAAAAAAACATGAAGCAAAAACCAGAAAGATACATTCTGTCATAAAAATCTATTTGTGTATTTTTGAATCATTACAGAAAAATAAAAAAACCAGCATCATGCAACCCAAGGTCTGTGGTCAGAACATAGCTCACGACTCCACAGCTCTGCAAAGACCACGTACAAATCACAGTCGCGCTCTGTTGCCCAGGCTGGCCTCACACTTGTGGCAATCCTCCTGCCTCAGCCTCTCCAGGTGCTGAGATCATAGGCGTGCACCACCATGCCTAGCACCAAATCACATGTAATAATGACACTAGCAAATGAAGTTATCTTGGCGGATTCATAAAAGGAACACTGGAAACTTTGCTTCCTCTAAATCTGGAAATTACTACATTGTTTCCCAGCACTCCCAAAAATTTTTGGTAACTACAAAGGCAACGTGTTTATCATATAGCCCATAATAAGAGGAAGACTATTGAAAGACTTAATCTTATACTAAGCAAATTAAGATGTGTCATATACATGCACCAACTCCCATGATGTGTAAACATTATGTACCAATTAAAAAATAAATTCAAAATGAAAAAATATTTCTACAGCATTGAAGCAAAATGGAGCAATTAATAAAATTAAGAATCTTCTTTGAAAAAATTACTAAGCAAACGACCATGTGTGGCCTTTGAATTCAGCCTCCATAGCTCCAGATGCTTGTTTAAACCCAAGTTTGCCCTGCGCCCGGCAGCATACACCTGGAGGGGCACGTGCGCGGGCGCACGCCTGCACAGTTCACTGTCGCTGTGGCCCCTAAGCGCGGGCGCGCACGCCCAGGCTTCCCGCCAGCCGCGATCCCGCCCCCCGCTTCCCCGCAGCCTGCCGTCTGGGTCGCACGGCTCGGGTCAGGCTGTGCGTGCGGGCCGCTGTGTCTCCGGACAGCACGGGGCCGTGGAGCACGGGGACCTCGCCGGCGCCGGGAGCTCGGTCCGCCTCCGTGTGGCTTCGCAAGGGTGCAGGCCACCAGCGGCCTTCTCCGTCCTCCTGGACTTAGACGTCGTCTCTTCGTCGCTGGACTTCTGGACCTGAGCTTCCTCTCGTGACGACGACGGTGGCCGCCTGCCACGCGCCAAGACCGCGCCCGGCAAGGCGGGCTGTCCCCCTCCGGCCGCGTCTGCGGGGCCCGCTCACATGGGCGTCCTGGCCAGCAGCTCCGCGTCTCCCTCCCTCGGCTCGGCGGGGGGAGCCCGGGTCAGGGCACGACGAGGCCTTTCCGTCCTTCCTACAAACACCACTGGTTTCCCGCGCCGGGCCAGCAGTCGCCGCCGGGAAGCAGCCAAACACGACTCCTCTCCGCCGTGGCTTCGCGCGGCCGCGGACCGACACACCGCGCAGGGGCCCCCGCCCGCACTGCTGCGCTGGCCTGCACGGCGATGCGGTCGTCCCGAGGGACCAGGCGTCCGCCTTCTCGGTGCACCGAGACCAGCTGAATTAGAGCGCAAGGTCGCAGAGAGAGGCCACGCCGACCCTAGGCGGCAGGTGTCTACCGGCCGAGGGGCTCTGCAGGCGAGAGCCAGTGCGTGTGTCTTGCGAGCCTTTCCCTCCTGCGCTGTCCCAACCTTGCGAGGCCGAGGCAGCACCGTCACGCAACACCGAGCGTCCCGCGAGCTCACACTGGCCGCTCCCCCTCGGGCTGGGCACACACAGGGCACCCCTCGCTGGACCCGGCCGTCCCCCGGGACACACCGGGAGGTGCGCACTCGCGCGCCCCAGGCCCAAGCACAGAGGCTCCTGTCCTGGGCGGCGGCCTCTCCGGGAGCTCTCCCAGGAGCGCAGGGCGCAGCCCCTGCTCGTCCTCGGCGACGCGGTGTACTGCCAGACGGACGCTGGGACACTGACGCGGCCAGCCAGGCTGTCCCTGCAGCTGCGCCCGCTGCCGCAGTTTCCCCCTGCCGGCCCGCCGTTCACGCAGGGCCAGATGAGTTCGCCTCTGCCCCGCGGCCGGCCCTGCCCCGCGGGCAGCGCGGACGGAGAGGCGGCGGGAGGAAGCCCGGCTCTCGGGGCCCAGGCCGCTGGTGCGTGCGGGGAGCACGGCGGGACGTGCCCTGCGCGGCCGTCCTGAGCACCCACCACGCGTCTCTGGTCTCTCAGGGGGCGAGCATGGGGTGGGGGCGTCAGTCTTCGCGTGTACAGTGTGAGTCGCTGGGGGCTGCGGAGTTCTCTTTCTGGGTGGAAACTGATGTGTGGATGCAGAAGGTGGGCAGTAGTTCTTCAGCAGCTCGATCGATCGATCGATCTCCATCGGCAAGGGGGTGGACAGCACGCCCCCATGCGCGGTCCACCTCCAGCCTGCACGGCCCGGCTTCTGGGCCTGTCCTCAGGGGCTGGGCCCGGGGTTCCCCTAGCAACTCCGCTGGAGGCCGGGCGATGTCGTTTGTAAACTGAGAAGGTGCTGTGTAAGCGCTGGAAAGCCCCCCCGCAGCTCGGGGGACACAATGAATATGCCTGTCGGCAAGCCCCGGCAGTGCTTCTTGGGTTTAAAGGATGCAGGCTTTAAAAACCAGCCACACTCAGCTAAGGACACTGCTCTTGGTTGGTAGTCTGAGTTTCCCATCTACTTCCAAAGGTCAGAGCTGTGCAGCAGGACAGAGGGGGCAGTCACGTGTAAAGCACAAGGACACCGCCTCTGTTCTCTCCAGGACTCAGGTCCCCTCCAACGGGGACTGCCAGGCAGGCGGGTGGGCGGGCGTCCTGCTCGTGCTGTGGTGTCCCCCCAGGGGTGCTGCAGGAAAGAGATCCTCTTGGAAAGCTGAGGCAGCAGTCCAGGCTGGCCTCAGCTGCTGCTCCCTGGAGCACAGAGCTGGACGGCTCCCCGGTCACCTGCCCCTCATCCAAACCTGGCCCCAGCTCTGCCCGAGCTGCTGGCAGGTTCCCGCCTGGACAGCAAGCGGCCGCTCCGAGCCCGGCTGCACGGGGCGCTGGAGCCAGGTCTTTGGCCAGATTTTCCTTCAGCTAAACGACCGATCCAACTGTATCTGCCGTTTTCTCTGAGAGGGCTGGATTTCCCAAGAGGACACTACCCAGTCTGTGAGTTTGCCCACTGTATCCCACACACCGAGACCCAGGCCGAGAACCACCGAGCTCTTCCTTTGAGTTCTCAGGTGACATCGCCATTGCCCCCGCAGCCGTCCTCGGGCCTCTTGGTGGATACGGATGTGTGCAGTTCTTAAAGTGGGAATCTGGATGGTTCCCCTAATTCTCCTTCCAAAGAGATACCTGGGTCAGGGTGTGGACCACTGCACACAAATACAGAAAAGAAAATCAAGCACACAGCTTAGAACCGTGATCTGGTATGAGATGTTCTTTTCTGAGCTTCCACCTCCAGTCTCTGAGTTTCCAGAATAAAGTAGGTGCGGTCAAAGACACCTGTGACCACCTCCTCCTGGCCTCCCTGCCGCCCTGCCTCGGCTCAGGCTCCTAGAGCACCCTCATCTCCACACCCTGGAGGGGACAGCCACCAGGGACACCACAGGGACAGGCCAGCACCTGAGCGGCCAGTGCCTCCTGCAGGGCCAGCCTGGGCAGCTGAGCCACTGCCACCCACGGGAGAAACAGTAGTAAGGCTCACAGAACGAAACGTGAAGAACTTTGAAATTCCTCTTCCTTACTTATTTTAAATCTTTTTTTATTTTTGAGAAGTTAGTGACAGTGGATGTTAAAAAATATTCATACTGGGCGAAAGAAAACTGGCAATCCTAGTTGGCCTCCAGCACTCTGGGCAGGAACCAGACTGGCCAGGAACACCCAAATTCTCATCTTTCTGTATTTCAGTATGCTGGCTTTGGGAAATTTGGGGAAAGTCTATAATTACATGAAAAAGTTTATGATACTTGACTGATAGAAATACCGGTTGGAGTATTCCCTACCTCAAATGCTTGGGACCAGAAGTGCTTTTATTTTATAGTTTTCTGGTTTCTGAGTATCTGCAGATTCATAGAGACTGGGTGATTTTATGTGCCACAGTCAGTGCGCCTGTGCTTTTGACCAGGTCCGACCTGCTTGCGCTTTCTGCATTAGGGATGCTCAAGCTGTCTGGGAACAAGTGAGATTCTCAGACACCCAAAAGGAGCGTGCCGAGTGACTGATGGGGCACTGTTACAGAACAAGGTCTGCCCATACCACAGCACAGTCCTGTCACCAGGGCGCACAAGACACCAAGGCAGGAAGGGAGGAGAGGTTCACCCCATCTGATCTGTACCTGTGCCTAGCCACATTCTCAACAGAGCACTCAGCCTCAGCTTTAGAGGAAGCTGAGGGGCAGGCGGGGGCAGAAGGACCAGTGTCCGGGGGAGGAAGTGCTCACTGCTCTGAGCCCGTCCCCATCTGGGAGCGGGGTGGCTTTCAGCTGGGCCTATCGGTGCTCAGAAAGCAGTAGCTGGTGTCACCTGATGTGCAGAGATAGCTAAAGGACTGAAGTTACCAGCCGAGCGCGGTAGAGCCTAAAGCAAGAGCCCAGGTCCTCACTCTTGCTGTAGTGTTTGTAGCATGCAGTGCTGTGTGAGAGAGCTGTACCTGCACATACACACGATACGTGAGATGCACAGGTGCAGGTACACAGCTCTGGGGACTGACCCTAGGCCTTCACCCTGAGCTACTTCCCCTGTCCTTTTACATTTCATTCGGAGATAGGGTCTCACTAGGCTGCCAGGCTGGACTCAAACTTACGATTCTCCTGCTTCAGCCGGCCCAAAGCAGCACAATTACAGGTGTGCACCACCCAGCTGTAACTATATACTTTTTGTTTTCTTCTAAAGTATGCTTTTTTTTCTCTCTTGGCAGTGCTGGGGAATCAAACCCAGGTCCTGGTACATGCTCGGCCCTGAGCTACACCCCCATCCCTGAAGTATACTTGTAAAAAGGCTTACTTGTCAGTTTATGCTAAATCTAGCGGAGTCAAACAGGAGGGAGACAGACCAAGAATTTGGCTATGCCAGGCAGAAACGGTTTCTGC